AAAACACAAGTAAATATCTTTCTGGTATTCATTGCTTTGAACCAAGAGCCATCTGACATCAGCTACGATATCCTTTGCTCCATATCCTCTGCTCCACATCCTCTGCTGAATCCAGCTTGCATTTCTCAAAGTTCTCTGGCAATATACTGCTGCAACCATTTTTGAATTGTCTTTGATAAGATTTTACTTGCATGTGATATCAATGATACTGTTTGATATCACATTCTATGGATTTATTGGTGGGAGTATATATTTGTCTACTTTGGCACAGTGGTCAAGTGTTTAGACTGTTAATCAAAAGATCTGTGGTTCAAACCCACCAGCCTCTCTGTGGGAGTTTGCTTTCATAAAGATTGACAGCCTTGGAAACCCTATAGGGCACTTCTACTTTGTCCTCTAGGGGCACGGTGAGTTGGAATTGACTCTAAAGCAGCGGGTTTGGTTTGGGCTTTACTTCTGTAAAGATTATAGCCTGGAAACCTATGGGGCAGTTCTTATCTGTCCTACAGGGTTGCTGGGAGCTCTGGTAGCATAGTGGCTAAGACACTTGCCTGCTCACCAGAAGGCTGGTGGTTCAAACCCACCAGCCACTCCTCAGAAGGAAGGTTGGGCAATCCTACTTCCATAGTGATACTGCCTCGGAAACCCAAGGAGGGGTCGCTATGAGTCAGGGCTGACTTGACGGCACATAACAACAACAACAACGGGGTTGCTATGAGTAGGAATTGACTGGATGGCAATGGTTATTTATTTATTTATTTAAATTAAAATTGATGAGGGCAGTGATGGTTCAGTGGGAGAATTCTCATCTTCCATGGGGGAGACCCAGGTTCAATTCCCAACCAATGCACCTAACGCAGGCCACCACCCGTCTATCAGAGGAGGCTTGAGTGGTGCTGTGATGCTGAACAAGTTTCAACGGAGCTTCCAGACTAAGGCAGATTAGGAAGAAAGGCCTGGAGATCTACTTCTGAGAAGTAGGCAATGAACACCCCATGGATGAGAACAACCCCATGCCTGGGGTCACCAGGTTGGTGGCCGACTTGACGGCAGCAGTAAGAACAGCAGTGAAAATGTATAACATGTGTGTCTTCTATGGTACGACCCTTCAGAATTACATGAGTGCTTATTTTAAAGATAGCCACTCCTCGGAAGGAAGATTGGGTGATCTACTTTCGTAGTGATACAGCCTCGGAAACCCAAGGAGGGGTCGCTATGAATCAGAGGTGACTCAGTGACAGTGAGTTTGGTATTTTAAAGAACATCCAAAAAGCAAAGCTATCCATGCTTTTAAAAAAACAAAACAAAAAAAAAAACCTGGAGGAATATGTAGCAAATTCCACAGCAGTGACTCATGGGTGAGAGTGGGAGGCTTGACCAGCCCTTCCTTTCTCCATCTGCCTCTCTAGGCCTTTCTGTACCGGGCTTTGGGCTTCACCCTGGCCACGGGCCTGGAGGCCGACAAGGTGGAGGTGTTGCTGTTGGAGCTGCTGTATAAGACGGACTATAGCAACGACTTTGACCAGGAGGTATGTGTGGACCCTTACTGGGTGGGGGGCAGGCGCTTATGTGTGTGTGAGAGAGAGCACGTGAGCACAGGGTGGGTGCTCCTCTAGCCACTGACCTCACCCTGGCTGGCTAACCCTCTGCAGGGCATCATCCTGTGCTTTGGCCTGTGTGCCCGGGGCCAGGTGAAGACAGTGCTGACAGTGCTCCATGACTTTGAGGAGAGGATCCAGGAGTCAGAGCAGTCCTGGCAGATTGGTGCCTGGCGGGTAAGACCCTTGCTCCACAGTCAAGTCTCTGGGACCTCTTGGAAGAAAGTCTTTCATACCTGTCTTAGTCTCCTAGTGTCACTGTAACAAAAATACCACACATGGGTGGCTGTAGAGGACAGACACTGGTTCTCTCACAGTTCTGGAGGCTAGAAGTCAGAATCAGAGTCTCGGCCATGTCAGTTTCTTCTTGTTGGTAGAGCTGGGAATCCTTTGGTTCTGTGCATGTTGATGAACACCACATGGCATCTGTCCTCCCCACTTGTGTGTGTGCCCTTTTTATAAATCAGAAATGATGAGATTTAGAACCCACCCTGCTGAGATCCAGTCTCATTAACATCCCAAAGTGAGCCCCGTTCTCAAAGAAGATTACATCTACAGGCATGTTGTTATTAGGTACTGTTGAGTTGGAAATCCAGTAGGGTTTTCTATGAGCTGAAATAAACTCAATAACAGTGGGTGAGTATTGAGGTTGTTGCTGTTAGCTGCCATTGAGTCAACTCTGACTCATGGTAATCTTAAGGATAACAGAAGGAAACTTCACCCCTCTTGCATCATCCTCAATCACCAGTATGTTCAAGTCCACTATTGTGTTTATCAATATCACTGAGGGTCTCCTTCACCTTCATCGGCTCTCTTCTCACTCATAGCAACCCTATGTACAAAAGAACGCCACACCCCCAGTCCTGCACCATCCTTGCAATTGTTGCTATGCCTGAGCCCACTGTTGCAGCCACTGTGTCAATCCATCTCATTGTGGGTCTTCCTTTTTTTCTCTGACCCTCTACTTTACCAAGCATGATGCCCTCCTCCAGGGACTGGTCCCTCCTGATCACATGTTCAAAGCATATGAGCAGAAGTCTGGCCATCCTCGCTTCTAAGGAACATTCTGGTATACTCGTTCCAAGACAGATTTGTTCATTCTTTCGGCAGTGCGTGGTACATTAATATTCTTCACCAACACCATAATTCAGAGGCATCAATTCTTTGGTCTTCCTTATTCACTGGGGTTTTAGGGGTTAGGACTCCAACACACGTCTTGGGTGGGGCAGGATTCAATCCATAACAGCACCAAGTAGAGCTCTTACTTGATCACAATAAGAAATTTCCCCCTGCCCCCTCCAGACTCTTGCCACCAGAACGACTGAGATCCGAGGCCTCCCTGACATGACATGACCGCTTTCTCTGTTGGGTAATCTATAGAACGTGGGTGGGCCGTCCCATGATCCAGATATTGCAAAGAAGTCCTAGCCCCTCAAGGCTCCCAGTAGGCGTCTCAGAGTAAAAACGTGGGCATCCTGGGTGCCGGTTGTTGCTGTTGTAAGCTGCTGTCTAGTCAGTCCCCCATGGTGACCCCAGACACAACGGAGTAAAGTGCTGACATCCTGTGCCATCCTCATGGTCAGTTACAAATCAGACCCTTGTGGTCCATGGTTTTCATTGGCTGCTTTTCAAAAGTAGACGGCAGGCCTTTCTTCCCAGTCTGTCTTACACTGGAGGCTCCTCTGCAGCCTGTTTGGCATCATAGTAACACACAAGCTTCCATCGACAGAGGGGTGGTGGCTGTGCATGATGTATATTGGCTGGGCATCGAACCTGCTTACTGCTGGTGAGGAATGTCAAATCCCAGGCCCCAGCCACGCCTCCTGGGTCATATCCTGAGAGCTGGAGAAGGTGCTTAGGCAGCGTGCAGAGGGAGATTACCATGGGCCAGGAGCACTGCCTTATTGTGTCAGTGGTACTAGGGTGGATGTGCTAGAAAGCTTACTGCCTTAAAGATGACAATGCTGAAGATTGTCCAAAGGCACGCAGCTTGTTGACAGGGAAGCTGGGATTTGAACCCAGGCTGCCTATGGCCAAGGGATGGTCTGACAGGCTGGCTGAGCCTCCAGTGGGATGACTGTCTCAGGCTTTTTGGCCTTGACCTTGGCCCTTACCTTGGGGTCTAGTAGTTTGGATGGAGAAAAATGAGTAGAAAGCAGGGCCTGAGGCCTGGATCTCTAGTCAAGGCCTGTCAGGGTAGGTTAAGTGACCCCCAACATTTCCTACTTGGAGTTTGGGGTTGGTCAGAAAGAATGGACTCCAGGAGAGCAGGCTGAGGTTGTCTGTTTCCACAGGACCCCTGGTATCATGAGAGGGCTGACCCAGCTGATGCCTGGCAGGTGAAGGTGGGAGCAGGTGGCCTCTGATCAGGGTGTCCACATATGCCATCTACTCACAGCTTTGGGTGATCCTGACATCTAGTGCTGGAGTCCCTGCGTGACACAAATGGTTAATGCCCTTGGTTGCTAACTGAATGGTTGGTGGTTCAAGTCCACCCAGAGGCACCTTGGAAGAAAGGCCTGGTGCTCTACTTCCAAAAAATTAACCATTCAAAATCCTACGCAGCATAGTTCTATTCACAGTGGGGTCACTGTGAGTCAGGGTCGACACAGTGACAACTGTTTTAGCACTGATTGCTAGACTGTAGCCTCCATGAGAGTGGGCCCTGGTCTATCCTGATCTCCACCATATATGCCCAGCAGTAACAGGTGCTCAGAGAAGACGTTTTGAATGAATGAATGAGTGAATGAATAAAAGGTCATTTCAGCACCCAGAGAGCACTCAGTTGAAGCACCTCCAGGCGACTCCACGACTGCTTTGATCCTATGACTAGAGACTGCCCTGTGTGCAGCTGGGGTCCCGTGCTCCCTCCCAGCAAGCAAACTGAGCAGAGCACCTCCCCAATGGTTCTTCTCCCACTTGTTGCCCTGAAGAAGGACCAGCCCTGGAGGCGAGAAACGGTGAAGAGCACCCTCATGGTCATGTACAGCTGTGTGGCCACCTACTGCCACCCACAGATGCTCCTGACTCATGTGGACAGCCTCATCACTGCCAAGATAATCCACCACTACTCCAGCAGCTGCCAGGTACCTGGGCCCAAGGCCCCCAGTGCACAGGGAATGGCCTCCCTGAGCCACAGGCTGGGGAGCATGGCCCTCTGTCATCATCGGAGCACCCCAATTCCACAAGGAGACATGCAGGAGTCTTACCCAGCACCCCACATTGAGTATCAGTGTGGTAACAGACAGTGAGGCCATCATCTCTCAGAGCATCCTCCAGAGCAGAGGGGCACTTTCCTGTCTGGGGTGGGGGGCCCCTGGGGTGTGGCTTTTGTGCCGGTTCTTGGGGGGCCACTCACAAATATGCTTTCTCTCTCTCCCCACCTGCTGGCTGTGGGCACAGGACATCCCCCTCAAACTGGCCTTCATGAAGAGTATCATACAGGTCACCAAGGCCATCCAAAACATTGAGTACCTTGAGGACTTCCAATTTTCCCACAAAGCCACTGTCACCAGCATGATAATGGTGAGCGAGCTGGGAGCGAGCTGGGTGGTTTGGGATCTAACTCTCTGCTAACTGATTTCCCCCAGGCCAGAGGCTTCCAGAGTGCCAAGGGAGTCTGGAGGACAGGGGCTGCAGGCCTCTGAGACCCTTTCCATCTCAGATCTGCTCTGATCTAACCATTGGAGTTTTGAGTGCCATTTTTGTTTCTAATAAAATGTTTCTCAGCCAAGAAATGGTTTAGAAACGAGGGCTGACGACCCTGCTCCTCTTGGGCCCTGTGATGACCAGGGTGGTTGCTCAAGGGCTAGTCCCCAAAG